GACTCGTAATTCTCCATGGCCTGTGGCAGCTCAGATTCAGCGGCGGCCTCCACGCGAACCATGCTGCGCTGAATCTCCAGAACGCTGCAACTCAGCACCTGCTCGACAGCGGCGGCTGACACGTGCTCCTTCAGGTGGACCATCTGCGAGAACACCTGGGCAAAGCGCAGCAGGTCCTTGTGCGTGTTGCGGTTTCCTTTCTGCCGCAGGCGGAGGGCGTGCAGCCACAGCTTGATGCACTGTTCAAACTCCATGTTGTCAGCGTAGACGGCGCCACGGTAGATTATCGGATGCGACACGTCGATATTGTCCGAGCCCAGGATCCGCTCTCGGATCATCAGTCCCTCCATGTGCAGGGCGTCGCGGTCCACCCTGATGGCCTCCAGGTCCTGCAGCGTTTGACACTCGCGGCGCCCTCCGTAAGCCTCGACGGCCGGGAACAGTTCCTTGGTGATGTTGTTGTCTGGATCGCGGTAGCGCTCCATCATGGCCGCGTGGAGGTAGTGGTACGTCCTCTGTATGTCGTAGTTCTCCCTGTCGTTGGCGAACGAGGCGCCCAGCAGCTCCAGGGCCTCGATGCGGCTGTGAGGGTCGCAGTCGGCGTGCGCCAGCAGCAGCTCCACCACGTCAGCCTTGCAGCTCTCCGCCGCCACTTTCAGCGGCGTCATGCCGTGCCCGTTCACCACCATGGATGCCTGGCATTGCATCAGCTCTTTGACAATGTCCAGATGTCCTGCCTCAGCCGCAAAGTGCAGCGCGGTGGCCCCGCAGTGGGCCTTGGCGTTGGGGTCCGCCCCCTTCTCCAACAGGAACCTCACCACCTCCGTGTGGCCTTTGTAGGCGGCAATCATCAGACAGGTGTTGTTGAACTTGTTGGTGATGCTGATGTCGGCGTTGTGCTCCACCAGGTAGCGAACGATGTCCAGACGCCCGTCGAAGCAGGCGGCTCGCAGGGGGGTGGAGTTTGTGATGGTGGTGTGGTTGACGTTGGCGTGGTGACTCACCAGAAGACGCACTACCTCGAAGTGTCCTGCGCCGGCTGCACACCACAGCGCCGTGGCACCGTCGATGACGTAGCTGCAGGCCAGAGACAACAAACGTTAACGTGTCATCATCCTCCGGTTAACTGGTCACGATTCAAACAACAACGATAGTAACGACTACAAGAACAATAAAAACAGATTCGACTGTTGGTTGAATTGTAATTTTCAGGATTTCTGTCCTTCACCCATTCAGTGTTTTCTAAATGAAAGCAGTTTACGTAGAGCCGGTGTCAGTTTACCAAAACTCATGAAAACAGAACAATCTCAGTAAAATTCAAGCTCTCTTTTGTCTGGTGTTATGAATCAAGCGCGCCCTCTTCCTTTACTGCAGAGAGCACACAGTGGGACTGACTGTGACGTTGATAACTGAGGACCAGAGGACACAGACATGCTTTGAATACATCTGTCAACCTCCACGAGATGTTTGAACCTCAGAGATAAAACGCCGCGGTCTTTGTGCCGTTCCGCGGAGACTCTGAACCGTCACGTTTGGATAGCGGCAGCAGACCTGCAGCACGTCGACCCCTCAGGCTGCTCATCTGTTTCCTGACAAACTGCTCATTAAACGAGGAATAATTTAAAAAGCAAACACCTTCTGCTGAGGTAAAGAGCCGCTGAATGAAGCTTTTGGTTTCAATGCTTTTAAAATGAAACAGAAACCTGGTCTTTCCCCGTGATCCGGATTCTCTTATCACTTCAAAGGTGCTCTGATTATCTAACCGAGCCTTCAGCCTCATCACGTAAACCACTGAAGAACATTTAACAGCACGTTTACAGGCAGACCTCGCTGCAGTGAAACAGATCGCTTATATAACGGTAAACATATAGTACCTCATTTTTTTAGAGTATTTTAGTATTCATATATATCCTCTTGATGTGTTCGCATCACCCCTCCCTGACCTGCACTCAATCTACAGCAGGCGGTGCTGGACCAAGGCCAGGAAGATGGTGAAGGACCTCAGCCATCCCAACAACAGACTGTTCTCTCTGCTGAGGTCAGGAAAGCGATTCCGCTCCCTGAAGACCAACACAGAGAGACTGAGGAGGAGCTTCTTCCCGCAGGCGATACGGTCTCTCAATCACACCACCACACAGTCCTGACCCACACATATGGTTCTTACACACACTGGACATTCTGGACATTGTTTCACTTCATCACTTAAATCACTTTAAGCATATTTGCACTGCAGAGAACATAATGTGGATCGCACAACACTGGTCACTATATTCTTCATTTCCGGTTAATACTTGTACAGCTGCTGTTATTGTGTATATATTTATTTATATTTCTTCAGACATTCTTATATAGTTCTATATTGTGTATTTTGTTGTACAGTTATTTCATTTTCAACTTTAATTTATATATTTTATCTTATTCTTCCCAGTTAAATTTACCCTTCATTCTAATTTGTGTTGTACAGTTATTTCATTTTTAACCTTAATTTTTATTTTATTCCTTCCTAGTTAAATTTACCCTTTTTAATTTTTCATATTTATTTCCTATCTTATTCATAGCCTTTTCCTTTTTTGTTTTCTTTCGGTCACGAGCAGTTGTCCAAGCATTTCACTGCATATCGTGCTGTGTATGACTGTGTACGTGACAAATAAAATTTGAATTTGAATCAACTTAGAATTAATCCTTTAAAATATACGGTATATATGGTTCGCAGCGTGTGGAAGTGGAATACAGTGGCCGAGATGGAAATCGTCTTTTCACCTGATCACATTTTATGTATGTGATCAGAGACGCCCGCACCCCTAACACCACAAACCGCTGTCAGACCATACTATGACTTTCACACATGTACGCCTTCATCATCCCGCTCTCCTCCTCCTCCAACAACGACAGATCCATTTCAAACACAGTTTCACTAATGCAGACTAACAGCAGCTAACAGCTGTAAAATGTAATAATTGTCCTTTTTAAACATCCTCTAAAACTGTTTCCAACAAAAATGTCTTATTAGTTCTCCATCATCATGTCAGACTTTTTCCATTTTTAACCTCTGACCCTTTTTTGAGAAATGCACCAGTTTTGTTTCTGTTAACTTCTGTTAAGTTTATTCATTTCCCAAGATTAGTTTGATTGACACTTATTTAGGGCACTATATGAAAGCTGCTGTGGACATAAGAAGCTGGTGCAGCAGGTTAGCAGGTGAGGACCAGTCAAACTACATCAGACGAATTTCTGTAAACTCGGTTTTTCTTTTAACAAATACTTTGAGTTTTGCGTGACCTCTGTCCTGCCTGACTTCATGAAACTGGTGATATCTGAGTAATAAACCTGGCTGTGGAGCGCAGGTAGCCTCGGGTGAGCTCGTACCCGTCAAACCGAACCGTGCCGGTCTGCTCGGTGTCCACCTTGTAGTGGTCCAGGAGGAGCCGGACCACCTTGTCGTGGCCGTTCCGCGCCGCGATGATCAGCGGGGTGGACCTCTGGCCACTCAGGTGGGTCACGTAGCTCAGCAGGAACTGCGTCTCCGCCTCGGAGTGGTTCAGCAGCAGCGCGGCCAGGGTCAGGACTCGGCCCTCGCTGGCAGCCTTGTACACATACCCGGCCAGAGACTCCATGAGAGCCCGAGAGGAAGCCAGGAGCTCCGCGTTCTTCCAAACTGACAGCGTCCACTCCCCCGGAGCGACCCGCCTCCCATTAAAGAGTCCACACCGGCCCCGGGGGTGACATGAAACGGCTCTGTCCTACCTACAGCCCCGGAGGAAACGTTCAGAGGTCCCGGCTGGTTTGACTATAAGCACTGGACTCTGGGTGTGCGTCTCCGGGCAGCAGCAGAGCGAGTGGACCGGTTAGCTCCGACGGCTAACTGCTAACGTCAGCGAGCGGCTTCCAAAGCGTGTCTGAGGTCAAAGGTCAGATAAATGACACCTCCTGTTGTTGCTGAAAATAAAAACGTCGTCCCGCAGCGTCAAACACTCAGAAACACACAGCTGATTTCAGCGTTCACGGAAGTTTCCGCTTTAAAACACCTCCGACAGGAACGTTCTCCAGCAACTTCTGTTCCCGCCTCTTCTTCTGCTGCTCACCTCGAGAGGGCCCGCACTGCAGCGCCACCCTCTGGTCCGGGTCAATTACTGCATCTGCTCATCAAAACAAAAACCGCCAGGATAATCACGAGATATCCATTTGAATTGGTTTAGTATAAAATAATGACTTTAACTTGAATTTTAAATTAAGATAAAAAATTTAAAATTAAAAATATAGATTTTTTTGCCATTAATTTCCCAAACTTCAGATTATTTTGAAATTCTTCTAAATATTTCATATATCTGGCAGTTTGTTTTTTAAATTGCCTATAATTTTTTGTTATTATTATTATTATTTTTTTGTTTCATTAATCAACTTCTTTTCTGTGAGCTTTCAATTTCTTTCTTATTAATTGCCATACAGTTTTTTTCTCTAACACTTATTAAAGTGTGAGTGTGGTGTTTTTCTTGAGAGGCCATTAATGTGTTATGTTCTGTACATTCCCTGATTTTATGCTGCATTTCAGGCAGATTCATTTTGAGACTGTTTGACTGCTTAAAAAATGTAGTTGTGATTATGTGGTTTCAAAGTTTGGGTTTTAAACTTTCACTCAGCAGGTGAAAAGATGAGCTATAGCTGTACTGTCCCAGTCAGCCTGATGTCACCTGAAAGCAGTTCAAACTACAAAGTGCTGACTTTCAGCAGAGCAAGCTCAGTCTGAGCTCTGCTCAGTCAGATGCTGCAGGTTCATTTTTTTCTTTTCAGTAAAATGAAAACATGTTTTTGAGGTTTTTATCTCTTTACACCATAAGCTCTGAGATCAGCTCATCTAAACCAGATTAATCTAATAAAAACTGGGAGGGGGGTTTGTGCAGATTAATGCTAATCTGCTGACAGATTAACCTGCTGGATGGACTTCCTGTAGAAGCTCTGTGTTTGTGCTGGTGAAATCATTTGCTTTGATTTATTTCAGATGAAGAGAAACCGTTTCTGGAGCACCGGTGCTCGCTGTGGGACTGACACCTCGGTGGGAATGAAAAGGACAATAACGCAGAGAATATGACTTTACGGACAGACACGAAGACGTCCACGAGGAAGAGAGAGAACCCAGCTCTGCGTGCAGCAGCTTTCATGTGCAGGTTTGTGCAGTTCAATTTCTCATAATTCCCACCCATAATCAGTTATTCACCTTTAATTAATGTCAGAGCTTTGGACCAATGATTAAAAGACATCTGCAGACGTCTCTACAGAAACATCTAATTTATTTATTTACTAATTAATTCATGAGATTAGATGAAAATTTTAACCTCTAAACTGTGCCATCCATCCTTGCATCCATCTATTCGTCCATGTCCTTGAGTTCTCCTCAGGGCTCATAAAAGTATTCCAGATTCAGCTCAGGGCCTCCTGTTAGTCCGACTTTCCTGAAAACACCTCATGATAAAGAAACGCTGCTGTAGTAAATGAAAGAAATGTCTATCAGCACAACTCTAAAACGTGTGAGAAATAAACGACATTTTTAACTGTGCCTCATGATGAAAATAATAAACTTCTTCGATTGTGAAAAAACAGGAACTTCTGTTAGTTGATTGTCTGTTTCTGTAAAACTTGTAAAAAATGTTTGAAACCAACACTTACGTCTGCTTTAACACATCCAGAGTTGTTCATTTGACCAGATTTGGGTCTTTGCTGGGCCACTTTTGGCCCCCAGACCTTTTGTTTGACACCCCTGGCCCAGAGAAAGGTGGCCCCTCCTCCCCAGTCCTGGCTCCAGGGTCAGGGCACTTGATTTCTTCTGTGTGGCCCTCTGGGCCCTCATCCAGGACCAGTTTACCTCAGGAGCCCGCTCCACATCCATAACTCAGCTCCTGAGATCAGTCCAGCGTCTGCGCCCAGACGAGGGCTCTGTGAGATTTCAGACAGGTCTGAATATCAATTTAACTTCAATGGAAGACAAGCTCTTTTTATTCATACGACCCATTCTCTTAAACTAGTCAGTATAAGCTCGTATAAGTCTGAGAGTCAGAGTCCACTGCAGCCTCCCTTCAAACAGGCTCTGTGCTGTTGTTTCAGACCTCCTGACGTCCGTAACCTGTGAAGGCTGGAGACATTTTTCACCTTTTGCAATCACCGAGCTCCCATTTTCCCGTCTTCCTGTTTCAGCTGCTTCTATGTTTTTTCTGTGTTAACGGTGCGTTTACGTTCCTCCGCTCGTCTCTGTGTCCTGCAGCCGCTCGGCCGGTTCCACGCAGGTGGAGGCGGTTCTGCCGAGGCCTCGCTTCCACCTAGACCTCTGGCTCAGCTTCACCTTCCAGAATTGGATCCTGGATGTTGGCCGTCCCGTCGTCATGGTAACAAAACGATGACTAGCGCTTAATCTCGGGACTTTCTATTTTCACCCAGAGGGAGCCTAACAGGACATTCAGCGTCTGTTTTGTTCTGCTGCTGAAACGTGATCGCTTTCAGTCGTCGCTATATTTTCATTAAGACGCCGCCTCGCTCATCTGCATTGCAATAATAATAATAATTATTATAATAATAAAGCATTAGTGGAATAATGTTGGGAAAACCTAACCATGAAGTGTCTTGTTTTTGGCAGCTCGTCCTCCCTGCCGATTGGCTCCCTCTGCAGCATCCTGGGGTTGCAGACCATCTCCACTTCCTGTACAACGTCACGGCTCCGCTCATACTTCTCAAAGTAACTGTGACGCGCCTCAGGCCATCCCACATGACGAACTCCTTTGGTGTCGATTTTCTGAGTTTTAATTGACTTTGCTCCGTCTCAGATGCTTGAACGCAGCCCCTGGATGCTCCCGGGCCTCGCCGTCCGCCTTGGCATCATCGCCGTTTCCATGGGAACCACCCTTCACTTGGTGGCAGACTCCATCACGAGACGCCTGCTGCTGATTGGTTACCAGCTGCACCTGCCTGTTAGAGAGAATCCAATAATGAGGAACCTCAAACCTTCGGCCCTGGTAGGTGCTGCACTCGAAAGACCGAATAACAAACAGTGAGAGGACCCCGGACCGTGAACGGTGGCAAAATATACATCTGAGCTCAGGAGGGGGTCCTTGAGCTGAGATCCTTCTGTAAGAACCGAACCGCTCCTCCTCCTCCTCCTCCTCCTCCTCCTCCCCCCCCCCCCCTCGGTGTGAGTCAGATTTAGTGAAACTGAAGCTGAACACTTGTTCTCCTGCAGAGTTCAGCTCGTCCCCATTACAATCTGAACTGAATGCACAACAACACAGTGAGAATTTAAAGGACTCCAGGTCTGTTTCTGACACATTGATTCTGATCCTTCAGTCTAAGCTGGTGAGTGAAGTGTGGTTCAGAGAAAGTAGAATGTAAGAAACCTCCACTGATCTTCATACAGAAGGCAGCAGAAATCTGACAGCTGACACCAAAACCTTCCAGATGGACGAACAGCGCCGCAGACCCGAGGACACATGTGAATCTGAACTTGGGGAAACAGTTGAATGACTGATGCATCATCTGCTATTTGAGAAATAAAACAAATAAATGAATAAAATTGATTCGTGTTCATAAAGTTTTTGTGTTTTTCAGGTTGACGTCTTTGAGCTGCTGTTTCACTACGATGACACTGTTGGTCACATGATGTGGTAAGAAGAGAAAAAGCTGTTGTGTTGTGTTAAGCGATGACTCCACATGCGGACAAAAATGTATAATTATAATTAAGCACAAGTACAGAAAAATGTTGCAAAACAGACAAAAACAAATGCAGCTTTAAATTCAAAGGAAAAGCGATTTTTCAACAAAAGAGCAGACGATGTCGATGTTTGACATTTATTCTTGTAACGAGGATCGTTTTCCTCCTTAGGTACGTCCCTTTCTTCCTCGTCCTCGTGCTCTTCTTCAATGGTTGTTTCAGTCGCAGGGAGCAGGAGGAGAGGATGCCACCGTCAGCGTGGATGCTACTCGCTCCAAACGCTGCCTACTACTGGTCAGTCTGCTTTACTACAACATCCTCTGCACATGCTCTGTCCGTGCTTAAAGTTCAGTCCCTGCAAATATCTGAGGGAAGAACAAAACTTACTTTTAGGTTTTACTGATACTAATTTAGCTCATAAACAGCATGTGAAGGGCTGGAGGTGGGTTGCAAAGCAGCTTACAGACGTGCAGCAACGTTAATCCAGAGTTTTAAAGAAAAAGAACAACTTGGAATAATAATCGCCAGTTTTGATGAAATGCGTCCGTCTGCCCTGTGAGAGCCAAGACATCGAAAACACATCATCGTCTGGATGTTTTCATCAACGCTTCGTCATCATCAGGTGACGTCTTCAGTCTCAGCTGACTGCAGCTTTCCAACCTTAGAAACAGGACATTTGCATAATGACTGAAACCAGCCCACTGAAGGAACAATGGGCTGGGAGGTCACTTCCTTGATCAATAATATGCAAACTGTCTTGACCACCAATCAATGGCCAGCATTGTAAGATGGTGACAGATGTACCCTTAGGCCCCTCCTCCATTCAGAGATGGTCTCTACCCTTTTCACATAAATGGCCTCCTTGACTCCGCCTTCAAACCAGCGTTCCTCCCTGTCCAGGATGTTACATCCTCATCATTGAAGGCGTGGCCACTGGCCTGTAGGTGTGAATAGACTGCAGAGTCTGCAGGTACATGTTTCAACACCAAGAGGTCACCTGGATGAGTGACGGACAGTTTCTCCCACTGAAAACTGGACGTAGCGTCTTCAGTGGGCTTTCTGGGATTTCCTTACCTGGATGACTGAGCATCAAATAAGCTGTTATTTTCATCTCAGAGGAACATTAACCACAGAGTTTTCTATTTAAACCCAAAGTAGCTAACAGGTGGAGGCACCAAGTGAAACCTGTGTTGGCTGAAAGTAGTAATTAAAAAAGTCCAGCAGCAGGTACATAAATCTGCATTTAGTCTGCAGTGAGAGGTTTGTGTATTGTGTGAGAGTCAGACGTGCAGAGGCTCATTCTCGACTTTACTCCAGGACATTTCCATATTTTTGAGACACTCACTCACACAGCCAGCCAGGCAGAACAAAATTAAATTCGTTCATAATTAAGAAGATCTAAAGAGCTCAGGGGTCAGGTGGCTCCCAGCAGCAGAAACAACGAACACAACGGAGAAGCTTTGAAGTTACAGAGCATGAAATATTCTCCCAGTATACAATCACAGCGGCACACACACAGTTTAGACGCGTGGACGTGAAAAATATACAGAATGAATTTTGACTAGTGCGTGAGTATAAAATAAAAGCATGTTTTTATTTTTAGTTTAAGACGCCATATTTGCTTCTTTATGGACAAAAAGGACCTCTGTGGTGGCCGAGTTGGACTGCAGCTAAGTGATAAAATAATATTATCATTTTTTAAATATTTGTTTTAATCACAGGTCACAGCTGAAGTCACAGATAATCGTGGATATTTTGAGTTTTAATAAAGAAATATCAGTAATTAGAACTCTTATAAGTTAAATCTTCATTATGTTGAATTTCTGACATTTGAAAGTTTTTGCTTTAATCTGCTTGCTGTCCTCCCACCAGGTAACAGCTGAACTCACCTGTAAATAGTTGAAGAACAATACCCGACCACCTGAGGCTGTGTGTGTGTGTGATCACCTCCAGCTGTTAGTAATAATTGATTAGCTGCTTCTCAGGTGTTGCTGACTTCCTGGTTTATGCAGTGAGGACAGAATTCAAGAAGCGAGTGAAGGTCGACTCAGACCTTTAAATACCAAACGAGTGTTTTACTTTGTGCTTCTGCTGGTTGCAGTTTTTAAACCTTTGCTCGTTCTCTGCTGTTAAGTTAAAGCAACTTTTTCAGTTCACTGCTCCCTTCAACATAAACGCATCAAACAGGCTGTTTTCACACACAAACCTAAAATTCATCATTTTTCTGACACACAAATGGTGAAAGCCTCAGACCTCTGAGTGTGACGGAGACAAAGTGCAGCTGGATAGCAAAAGGTTGCTGGCGGATGCAGGAAGTTTCAAACGATTGTGATTCACTGTAACTACGGTGACCAACCGTCCTCTTTTTTTGCACTCGTTGACTTGTAAAAGCCTATATGACCTTTTTTATGTCACCATTCATTAACCGTACAGAGAAAGCATAGTTTAAATATGAAACAGTGTTATTAAAGTTCTTCATGACTGGTCCAAGTGTCCTATTTTTTTGAAAATCAAAATACGGTCACCTTACTGAAACACTCACGGTGGGAAACTGCCCGATGTGCACTCATGTGGCACTGCGGTCAGTTAGAATTACACTGAAACTGAGTGGAAAACACATTTTTAACATGGCAGGAAGTTTCCTCACACTCACCTATAGAAAAACAGCTTCAAAACGAACCGACTGGCTCCTCCCCTGAAATGATCCCTGAAGCGGCTTGGTCTGCTTACACCAGTGGACGTTTGCAGGGCGACTTCACCCACCGGCCACCTGATGGAGTCACTGAGCTGATTGGTTATGCTTCTCTTTGTCCCTGGCGACAGGTATTTAATCACAGAAGGACAGACCTTCATCCTCTTCACCTTCACCTTCTTCGCCATGACCACTACAGTGATGCATCAGAGGAGGCGGGGCTTGTTTCTCAACAGTGATGGGCTTTTCATGTTCTACAGGTAAAAAAAAAAAAGAGAAAACGCAGCGAATGAGCAAACTGGGAAACATAAATAATGATGTTTTCAGGTTTTTAGTCGACCAACATTAAAGGTTCAAGGTTAAGTCGGTAATACACCGACTCATTCAGGCTCAATAATAGTTAAAACAACATCTCACATCATTAACGCAGACGGCTCGTTTTCACTGTCCTCCACCCTTTTCTTCTCCATCTGTGGGCCCAAAGCTCCGCTCACACAGGCGACTGTTTGGTGACACGCTGGGGAAAATGAGCATTTCCCAACTGCTTGTTGAGTGGTTGCTGCCTTCCTGCAAACTCCTACATAAGACATCCTTTGTTTGACTCTGTGCTGATAGTTTCTCTGCAGCTCTGATCCTGGTGGCGATCTGGGTGGCCTGTCTGTGGAACGACAGCATCCTGAGGACGACAGTCCCCGGACTGATCTACATCCCACGGCCCTGCACCGTCTACACGCTCCACCTCCACCAGATGAGCCACATATGACGGAGTTAGAAAGAGAAGAATAAGGATCTGTCGCAGAATCACAGGAACGCCATGATGAAACTGTTTATGGTTTTCACTGGATATTAGAAATACAGCCTCACAGCATCCACACGTTTCCACCTGTTTATTACTGGGATACAACAACTGAAAGCAGCTCACAAACCACCAAAAATATTCATTCTCCTCAGCTCACGCTCAATGATTTTCCCTAAGAAACATGAAAAATGCAGCTGAAATATATAAAATCAAATATTTGTTTAAATATGTGTGGATATATGTGAATAAAACTGAACCAAGTAAATGTATCTGAATACCCAAAGTCTCAGTTCTCAGATCTTTTAATTTAACCTTCTTTTTAATTTAATTTGGAGGAGTTATGCCTCAAAAACATCCTCAATGTATTAAATTCAGCAGCGTGCTCTAATACAACCTCAGTTCATGTAGAGAGAGGCTTCAGGCTCAGAGTATGGTTTATACGAGCACACCGCGATAAGAGCTCCGATAAAGACGAAGAACAACGTCACAGCGATGTGTTGTATCGCAGTTATTTCTTGTTAAATCATATTTCTCATTCAGTTCAGTTTTATTTATACAAATCACAACAACAGTCGCCTCAAGGAGCTTTATACTGTAAGGTCGA